AAGCTCTACACAGAGTGCAACATACCTTGATAAAGCTCTACACAGAGTGCAACATACCTTGATAAAGCTCTACACAGAGTGCAACATACCTTGATAAAGCTCTACACAGAGTGCAACATACCTTGATAAAGCTCTACACAGGTGCAACATACCTTGATAAAGCTCTACACAGAGTGCAACATACCTTGATAAAGCTCTACACAGAGTGCAACATACCTTGATAAAGCTCTACACAGAGTGCAACATACCTTGATAAAGCTCTACACAGAGTGCAACATACCTTGATAAAGCTCTACACAGACTGCAACATACCTTGATGAAGCTCTACACAGAGTGCAACATACCTTGATAAAGCTCTACACAGAGTGCAACGTACCTTGATAAAGCTCTACACAGAGTGCAACATACCTTGATAAAGCTCTACACAGAGTGCAACATACCTTGATAAAGCTCTACACAAGAGTGCAACATACCTTGATAAAGCTCTACACAGAGTGCAACATACCTTGATAAAGCTCTACACAGAGTGCAACATACCTTGATAAAGCTCTACACAGAGTGCAACATACCTTGATAAAGCTCTACACAGAGTGCAACATACCTTGATAAAGCTCTACACAGGTGCAACATACCTTGATAAAGCTCTACACAGAGTGCAACATACCTTGATAAAGCTCTACACAGAGTGCAACATACCTTGATAAAGCTCTACACAGAGTGCAACATACCTTGATAAAGCTCTACACAGAGTGCAACATACCTTGATAAAGCTCTACACAGAGTGCAACATACCTTGATAAAGCTCTACACAGAGTGCAACATACCTTGATAAAGCTCTACACAGAGTGCAACATACCTTGATAAAGCTCTACACAAGTGCAACATACCTTGATAAAGCCTCTACACAGAGTGCAACATACCTGATAAAGCTCTACACAGAGTGCAACATACTTGATAAAGCTCTACACAGGTGCAACATACTTGATAAAGCTCTACACAGAGTGCAACATACCTTGATAAAGCTCTACCAGGGTGCAACATACCTTGATAAAGCTCTACACAGAGTGCAACATACCTTGATAAAGCTCTACACAGGTGCAACATACCTTGATAAAGCTCTACACAGAGTGCAACATACCTTGATAAAGCTCTACACAGAGTGCAACATACCTTGATAAAGCTCTACACAGAGTGCAACATACCTTGATAAAGCTCTACACAGAGTGCAACATACCTTGATAAAGCTCCTACAGCTCACACAGGGTGCAACATACCTTGATAAAGCTCTACACAGAGTGCAACATACCTGATAAAGCCTACACAGGGTGCAACATACCTTGATAAAGCTCTACACAGAGTGCAACATACCTGATAAAGCTCTACACAGAGTGCAACATACCTGATAAAGCTCTACACAGGGTGCAAACATACCTTGATAAAGCTCTACACAGAGTGCAACATACCTTGATAAAGCTCTACACAGAGTGCAACATACCTTGATAAAGCTCTACACAGGTGCAACATACCTTGATAAAGCTCTACACAGAGTGCAACATACCTTGATAAAGCTCTACACAGGTGCAACATACCTTGATAAAGCTCTACACAGAGTGCAACTACTTGATAAAGCTCTACACAGAGTGCAACATACCTTGATAAAGCTCTACACAGAGTGCAACATACCTTGATAAAGCTCTACACAGAGTGCAACATACCTTGATAAAGCTCTACACAGAGTGCAACATACCTTGATAAAGCTCTACACAGAGTGCAACATACCTTGATAAAGCTCTACACAGAGTGCAACATACCTTGATAAAGCTCTACACAGAGTGCAACATACCTTGATAAAGCTCTACACAGAGTGCAACATACCTTGATAAAGCTCTACACAGGTGCAACATACCTTGATAAAGCTCTACACCAGAGTGCAACATACCTTGATAAAGCTCTACACAGAGTGCAACATACCTTGATAAAGCTCTACCACAGAGTGCAACATACCTTGATAAAGCTCTACACAGAGTGCAACATACCTTGATAAAGCTCTACACAGAGTGCAACATACCTTGATAAAGCTCTACACAGAGTGCAACATACCTTGATAAAGCTCTACACAGAGTGCAACATACCTTGATAAAGCTCTACACAGAGTGCAACATACCTTGATAAAGCTCTACAACAGGTGCAACATACCTTGATAAAGCTCTACACGAGTGCAACATACCTTGATAAAGCTCTACACAGGGTGCAACATACCTTAATAAAGCTCTACACAGAGTGCAACATACCTTGATAAAGCTCTACAACAGAGTGCAACATACCTTGATAAAGCTCTACACAGAGTGCAACATACCTTGATAAAGCTCTACACAGAGTGCAACATACCTTGATAAAGCTCTACACAGAGTGCAACATACCTTGATAAAGCTCTACACAGAGTGCAACATACCTTGATAAAGCTCTACACAGAGTGCAACATACCTTGATAAAGCTCTACACAGAGTGCAACATACCTTGATAAAGCTCTAACACAGAGTGCAACATACCTTGATAAAGCTCTACACAGAGTGCAACATACCTTGATAAAGCTCTACACAGGTGCAACATACCTTGATAAAGCTCTACACAGAGTGCAACATACCTTGATAAAGCTCTACACAGAGTGCAACATAACTGATAAGCTCTACACAGGTGCAACATACCTTGATAAAGCCTACACAGAGTGCAACATACCTTGATAAAGCTCTACACAGGTGCAACATACCTTGATAAAGCTCTACACAGATGTAACATACCTTGATAAAGCTCTACACAGGGTGCAACATACCTTGATAAAGCTCTACACAGAGTGCAACATACCTTGATAAAGCTCTACACAGAGTGCAACATACCTTGATAAAGCTCTACACAGAGTGCAACATACCTTGATAAAGCTCTACACAGAGTGCAACATACCTTGATAAAGCTCTACACAAGTGCAACATACCTTGATAAAGCTCTACACAGAGTGCAACATACCTTGATAAAGCTCTACACAGAGTGCAACATACCTTGATAAAGCTCTACACAGGGTGCAACATACCTTGATAAAGCTCTACACAGAGTGCAACATACCTTGATAAAGCTCTACACAGAGTGCAACATACCTTGATAAAGCTCTACACAGAGTGCAACATACCTTGATAAAGCTCTACACAGAGTGCAACATACCTTGATAAAGCTCTACACAGAGTGCAACATAACCTTGATAAAGCTCTACACAGAGTGCAACATACCTTGATAAAGCTCTACACAGAGTGCAACATACCTTGATAAAGCTCTACACAGAGTGCAACATACCTTGATAAAGCTCTACACAGAGTGCAACATACCTTGATAAAGCTCTACACAGGGTGCAACATACCTTGATAAAGCTCTACACAGAGTGCAACATACCTTGATAAAGCTCTACACAGAGTGCAACATACCTTGATAAAGCTCTACACAGAGTGCAACATACCTTGATAAAAGCTCTAACCCAGAGTGCAACATACCTTGATAAAGCTCTACACAGAGTGCAACATACCTTGATAAAGCTCTACACAGAGTGCAACATACCTTGATAAAGCTCTACACAGGGTGCAACATACCTTGATAAAGCTCTACACAGAGTGCAACATACCTTGATAAAGCTCTACCCAGAGTGCAATATACCTTGATAAAGCTCTACACAATTCCTTTGTATTTCTATTTGGGTTATCGACCTGATCAGGGGCACGCTGCCCGCTACCCAGGGGCACGCTACCCTGGGGCACCCTACCAGCAACCCAGGGGCACAATACCCGCTACCCAGGGGCACGCTACCCTGGGGCACCCTACCCGCTACCCAGGGGCACAATACCCGCTACCCAGGGGCACGCTACCCTGGGGCACCCTACCAGCAACCCAGGGGCACGCAACCCACCACCCTGAGGCACCTTACCCGCTACCCAGGGGCACAATACCCGCTACCCAGGGGCACGCTACCCTGGGGCACCCTACCAGCAACCCAGGGGCACGCAACCCACCACCCTGAGGCACCCTACCCGCTACCCAGGGGCACGCTACCCGCTACCCAGCTAGCCAGGAAACTGAAGCTTGGAGAAAGCCTTGGAGAACTAAATAATAATAATAATAATAATAATAATAATAATAATAATAATAATAATAATAATAATAATAATAATAATAATAATAATAATAGATAATGATAATGGTGATAGGAAGGGTTTCTGGCCACAGATGGCAACACTGACTTCTACCTTCCCTGGTGGTCGTATTTGGCAACGGTGTCTTGAAGTGTGGATACTGCCTGTGTGTTCAGTGTTCCACTGACCTCGGAGACTTACACTACCTCCAAGGTTTAAGTCGTACCTCCAAGGTTCAAGTCGTACCTCCAAGGTTCAAGTCGTGCCTCCAAGGTTCAAGTTGTACCTTCAAGGTTCAAGTCGTATCTTCAAGGTTCAAGTCGTATCTTCAAGGTTCAAGTCGCATCTCCAAGGTTCAAGTTGTACCTCCAAGGTTCAAGTCATATCTCCAAGGTTTAAATCGTACCTCCAAGTTGTATTTCCAAGGTTCAAGAAGAATCTTGAAGGCTTCATGGAATATTATTTTTAAGGTTTTGAGAGACTTTAGTAGTCTTAAGGACCACCTTGAAGGCACAAGAAGTACCTTGAAATCTGGTTCCTTGGAAATCTGGAGAATTATTTTGACGATTCAAGTGCCGAGTTTCTTTGAAGAATTAACAAGAATCAAGGTAATCTTAAGCAGTGATTCACACTGTTTCAGGAGTGCCACTACAGTGCCATTCTCTCCGACAGTGAAACAAGGCCACAACATCCCTGAAACTGAACGAAACACGTTCAAAACTGGAAAACTTGCCAGTTTTGTCAGCTAGTGGTGCTGACAGGGTGTTTCAGTGTTTAGTCTGGCACAGTGCCATACACCACAGCACTGGCCTCGTGCTAGATTAGAGACATCAACGGTAAACAGAGAAATAATCGACCAGCAGAACGGCGATCGAGCGGATGTAACAGGCCTCCAACGGTAACATCCTCCCCCAGGTCAACACTGACATATCAGTTAACAGTGAAATCAGGTCCAGGAAGGGCAAGTGATGGTGAGTCTTCAAACTGTTTGTTGCATTTACTGAAGAAAATAGATCAGTGATGTTTGTTGACACAAATCAGCTGACAGGTACAGCTGACAGTCAGCTGATCACTGCGTTAACAGTTGTGTCTCATTTATTTACTGATAATTCAATATTATTTTGCATTTGGTAATATTACTCTTTGTATTCGATCTTTCGTATACACAGGTATGTATGGGTGAGTATTCCTGGTGCATGTCTGTATGGCTATTGTTGTATGTTGTATATTTGACCATGTTCAAATTACACGCACTCCAGTAACTACTAAACTTTCAATTCAATGTTTGATGATATCCTCATCATGCTTCTGAAGTCTCCCAGTTCAGGCTGATACTACTGAAGCCTCCCAGCTTAGGCTGATACTACTGAAGCCTCCCAGCACTGACTTGTGTGATGGAATATAACCGGACAACCTAGCTAGCTTTCTCTCCCACTATGTAACTATCATCTAGAGTAGGGTAGCAGCACACTGCTGGTGTGCCCAGTTTGTATCTGTAGATGTAGGTGAGAATTCTGACATAATTTCTCGTGGCTCAGTTGGCAGCAACCTCAGGTCACAAACTGAGGGCTAGGGTTAGATTCCCGGACGAGTGGGATGGAGGAGGGAGGGGGAGTGATCTGTCCTCCGTTATCTGCCTCCAGCTGAGAATCTCCTCCTCCCTGCTGATGCTGATGCTGTCTCTTTATTTTCACTCTTTCTTACAAAATCATTTCATTTTTTTCCATTTCAGAGACCAGCGGTGTGTGCTGTGGTGGTGCTGACGGGTCTGGTCACGGGTCTGAAGACCAAACGAGAGATCTCGCTAGGACCAGAAGACTTGCTAGGAGCAAGGGCCTCCGAGGAACGTCAAATCTCGGCTTTGCACGTTCCAAGCATCCTATCCCAGCCTCCTTCAGCCAACCAGATGGATACACACTCAGGATACCCTCTAAGGCTGTTGGGAACTGGGAAGTCCTACCGGGCGAAGGGCAATGGGAACGCGTCCAGCGACAGAGATGACTCCAGCACGATAGGAAACAACCTCAGTGACAACACAGAGGACGACCTCCCACAAGTCATAGATAACCTCGTCGTGGAATTCACAAATGCAGCCTCATCTCTGTACCAGAAGCTGACCTCTGGACTCATTGACTTCATTGCATCCTGGGAGGGACATGAAGACCTGCCTGACGAAGAAATGATTCTTCCTGAGGAAGAAGAGGAGGAGGAAGAGGAGGAGGAGAAGAAGGAGGAGGAGGAGGAGGAGGAAGATGAAAACCACGAGAAGAACAGAAGAAGGGAAGAACTACGAACTCGGGAAAAGAAGGAAAATAAGAACTACGTTAAGAGGGAAAGCAAGAAAGAACTTCGAACTCACGAAGAAGAGGAAGCTAAAAGCCACAACAAAAGCAAAAGAAAAAGTCGCAGCAGTGATTACGGGTATGAGTATTTCCTGTATTATTATAGCAAATAATTTACCTATAATAGAGAAACCCTTTGTGTATATATGAGAACAGTGGTGTATATGTAACTGAAGGAGTGTATATATATCAGTATTTATATGCGTACTTAGAATTTACTTCATTGTCTATTATATAATATATTCTACTACTATTACTACTACTACTACCACCACCATCACTACTACTACTACTACTACTACTAATAATAATAATAATAATAATAATAAATTCTGTATTTGTCTCGTCAGAGCTACGAAGTACGGGGAGACAGGTCTCGACAAGAGTACTCACGTCTACAGCGTCCTGGCTGTGATCGTCTTCAGCGCCTTCCTGGGGTACATGGTGTACCACTATCTTAGCAGCTCCGCCAAGGAGAAGAAGCGTAGTTCCTGGGGACTCCATGGGTGGTCTTGGAGTCACGAGGACCTCCTTCAGAACCTCCTGAAGGAGGTGACTGTCGCTGTGGTGAGGTGGACGATGCTCGAGGACCCTCCGGGAGCAGAGGATCTGTGAAATATCCACTTCGAGGCTCCTCTTACCTTTGGGGGAACCAGCCTAAGGGAATAACCGGTCAACCAGGCTGTTGGTACCAGCAGCTAGTACGATATTAATTATTTATTTAAAGAGGCAAATCCTTGCGGGTCATTCAACACAAACAGCGCTGAAGAATCGACTTCTATATATACGACCCGTGGAGAACCACCCCAGACATGACCTTTCATTGACCTTTCACCTACCTTGTGCAGACCTTCCATGTATTTTTAAACAATTATTTCATATGAAGGAATAAATATTGATGGAGAAGAAAAAACAACAGACAATATAAGTTCAGTTTAGGGCAAAATCAAAATCAGAAATTCTTCAGATTTTTGTTAGAGAAATCGAGTATTTTGGGTTGAATTTCTAAGTCAATAAATACATTTCTAACTGTAGGTTATTTAACGATTTATAACTGTTGTCTGGTTTATGTAATATTGTGCCTATGTAGACTTAATGTGTGGCTTTAATGTGTAGTAATAATATATTATCTTTAATGTGTGATTCAATATAAACCTTTTCGTCCGAATAATCAATAGCGTTTTAATTTAAACCCTTACTTATAAAACATAAACCTGAGCATATGTACACTGAGAGATATGTCTCTCAGTGTATGTATGCGCTGAGAATTTAATCACTATTTTAGGTTTTAAAGTATTCTTAGCTGGTGGTATCCGGGTGACATGCAGCCTTAATGTGCCTCGTGTGGTAGATAGACTTTCAACCACATCAATCAACTCAACCAACTATACGTAGCTTCAAAAATAATAGTGACCCGAAAAACAATTCTTTTAGGAACTGTCCACACACACACACACACACACACACACACACACACACACACCCACACACACACACACTTATATGTGTGGTCTGTTACCGAAATATATTGCTGGTTATTTAACTATATTTATCTAGCTTTTTATGCGATGTTTATTGCTGGTTTGTTAATTTAGTGGTGGGTCTTCTGTTGTGTGGGTTTAGTGTTGATGTGTAGGTCTCCCATTGTTGTGTGGGTCTCCTGTTGTGGGTCTCCTGTTGTGGGTATCCTGTTGTGCGGACCTCCCTACAGATGTAGTGTTTACATAATAATAAGAATAATAATCTACAAACAAACCTACGGCATGGGAATGGGGTCCCCAATAAGTGCCGTCCTAGCCAACTTATACATGGAACACCTAGAGTCCGAACACTTCGCCAACATCATCCCTTCAAGCGTCACTTGGTTACGTTACGTGGACGATGTCCTCGTAATAACTCCAAAACGTTTTGATGTACGGGATCTTCAGGCAAGGCTCAACGCAGTTGAACCAGCGATTCAGTTTACACTAGAAGAAGAGTCCAATGACAAGCTACCTTTCCTCGACGTCCTCATTCACAAAGTAGACAACAACCTAAGATTTCAAGTTTATCGGAAACCCACCAATAAAAATGATCTCACACACTTCTATTCCAGTCAAGATACCAAGACCAAAAGAGGCATCATCATCGGGTTTTTCCTAAGAGCATACCGAATTTGTAATCCTGAGTTTCTCGACGAGGAATGTACTTACATTCACCAAACATTCACTGAGTTACAATTTCCTTCTTTTTTCATCAAAGACTGCAAGAAAAGAGCTCTTCAGATCATCAATTCTCCACGCACCAACACCGCTCCCAACAAAGTTATAATTCTTCCCAACAGCCAGGTTGCACTAAACGTCTCAAAAGTACTTTCACAAGCTAACACCAGAGTCGCCATCGCTTCTACCACTTCAATAAAGGATCTAACCAGGACAAAACCCAAGCACCACGAACCAGTCAATGCAGGAGTTTACACTATACCCTGTGGAGGCTGTGACAAGATCTACGTAGGTGAAACAGCAAGAAACCTCGACACCCGCCTCAATGAACACATATACGCATGTAGGAACGACAACTTAAACAACGCCTGTGTACAACACCGAAATTCCACCAATCATCTTATGAAATTCAGAGACGCCCAATTAGTGATAAAAGAAACTAATTTCCGTACACGCAAGTGCCTTGAATCAGCACTGATCGCTGTTTCGAATACAATTAAACAAAACAACGGCAGCTTCACCATCTCCGAAGTCTTAGCAAGAATCCTCCTGAAAACAGTAAACCCTGCCATCACATAGTCTCTCCTGTTATACTACACAAAGCACAGAGAGTGAACACTGAAACAAGCTGCCTCATTCCAGTTTATATTTGTCCAACCTATTTTTATGTTACCCAAGTAATAGCTTTTATATCCTTTTACTCATGTACGAATTAATTGCTCTACCATATTGTATTACTTTTGTCACTACCACTACTACTACTACTACTACTACCACTAGTGAACATCGAAATGGTACCTCACTAGTATTCACCTCACTCTGAGCCTTTATATACCCTCTGTGTCCATGTATTGTTTGTAATGGCTTGATAAAGCTCCTGGAGAGCGAAACGTTGCCACAATAAATGTCACATTAGTTGCACTTGTGTCCTTTTACTTTACAATAATAATCTAATATTTACTGATTTCATGCCTACCATTACTCTAAATTTCCATTAATTTCTTCCGTGAAGGAGCTTAGGGTTGCTGAAGCTCTGTTTATTAGATGTAATAAAGCTCTCTTAATAGAGTTTTCCCCGTTCCCATACCATACCCAGTAGCCACTTATAAATATACTCTCCATTTTGATCGAAGTGTATAAGTGGAAGATAGGTATTAATAAAGGGGATATTAACAAGGTCTTGAGGATATCTCTCCAAGAGAGAACCCGCAGTAATGGATTTAAATTAGATAAGTTTAGATTTAGAAAGGACATAGGAAAGTATTGGTTTGGAAATAGGGTAGTTGATGAGTGGAACAGTCTACCTAGTTGGGTTATTGAGGCTGGGACTTTGGGTAGTTTCAAATCTAGGTTGGATAAGTGCATGAGTGGGAGGGGTTGGACTTGAGTGGGACTTGCACATCGGAGCTTGTTTCATGGGTGGCACTGAAAGTTGGGTTGGTCAAATGTTTGTTAGTGGGATGAATTGTAAAGGACCTGCCTAGTATGGGCCAACAGGCCTGCTGCAGTGTTCCTCCTTTCTTATGTTCTTATGTGTAGAGCAGAGAGCAGCAGCAGACAGCAGCAGACAGCGTCAGGCCTCCCGGTGGTGGTGTTGCCTTCACAAAAGCATTAAGGTTCTGAGAGCTTTGTGAGAGTAACCTGTTAATATACACCCACGAGGCTCTAAACTCTCAAGTGTGTACACACACACACACACACACACACACACACACACACACACACACAAACCTCAGAACAGCATTCCGACATCTTAATAAGGAATCATTCAGGACCCTGTACACCGTGTACGTTAGGCCCATATTGGAGTATGCGGCACCAGTTTGGAACCCACACCTAGCCAAGCATGTGAAGAAACTAGAGAAAGTGCAAAGGTTTGCAACAAGACTAGTCCCAGAGCTAAGAGGTATGTCCTACGAGGAGAGGTTAAGAGAAATCAACCTGACGACACTGGAGGACAGGAGAGATAGGGGGGACATGATAACGACATACGAAATACCGAGAGGAATTGACAAGGTGGACAAAGACACGATGTTCCAGAGATGAGACACAGCAACAAGGGGACACAGTTGGAAGTTGAAGACACAGATGACTCGCAGAGATGTTAGGAAGTATTTCTTCAGCCATAGAGTAGTCAGGAAATGGAATAGTTTGGCAGGAATAGTGGAGGCAGGATCCATACATAGCTTTAAGCAGAGGTATGATAAAGCTCACGGTTCAGGGAGAGTGACCTAGAAGCGATCAGTGAAGAGGCGGGGCCAGGAGCTTGGACTCGACCTCTGCAACCTCAACTAAGTGAGTACAACTAGGTGAGTACAACTAGGTGAGTACACACACACACACACACACACACACACCACACACACACACACACACACACACACTGTACGAAGAGGTACAATATACCTCATAGAGCAGGAAGAGTGGACCTAGTAGCGACCAGCAAAGGGCTGGAGCCAGGAGCTATGAATTGACCCCTGCAACCACAAATAGGTGAGTACACACACACACCAGCTACTGACAGCTGGGTCTGCCACACTCAGTGTACAGCTACCAGTGTGTGGAGTAGCACTGTACCACAGCTCACCTACCACTGCACCCTGCATCAGACCCATAGAAGAACCAGCGTGACTTCACTGATTACGTCACGACTAATTGATGACGTGTAGCCAATCATAACAAGACTTGAGGGACGTCACTGCTACGTCACAACTAGTTGATGACTTGTAGCCAGTCACAAACGTTCTTCTCCCTTCTGATAATGGTAAGTCGATTTTCATGATTTATTTCGCATTTTCATGTACATAAATTTTCATTTATGCTCAAAAATTCTTTTATAATGATTTGTGATTTGAATTAATTACGTTTGTGTGTTTTGTCTCAGTTGATAAAGATGTGAGATGACTGATGAGCTGAACTTGTCTCTCTCTCTCTCTCTCTCTCTCTCTCTCTCTCTCTCTCTCTCTCTCTCTAGCACTGTATATTACTTCTAAGACATGTGATGAATATTCCCAGAATGCCTGTCTCCTGGTGTGTTTGGCGATAGTGGATGCAGGGTTGAGTGCAGGCGTGGGTGGAGACGTGAGTGAAGGAGGCGTGGGTGGAGGCGTGGGTGAAGGAACTATAAGAGCAGCAGAGGAATTCTCCCTCAAGAATCCTCTCACAGCCTCTGTTTACCATCTCCTTTCCTTCGGCAATCGCGATACCAGTTCCGCCAGTGCTGCGAACTTCGCCAGTTCCTCCAACTTCGCCGGCTACGCAAATGCCTTCAACTTCGCCAGTTCCGCCAGCAACGGCTTCAGCGACCTCCAGAGGCGGTACAGGGACCGCGTCTTGGGTCAAGCCAACGCTCAGAGCGACAACGGGAACGGTCCCCACAAAAGGGACAACGAGTTCGGCGAGGTGTTTAACAATAGAGGAGTCAACGGAGAGATCGCCCGACGAGTCAACGGGGTAACAGGACGAAAAACCAACGAAGAACTCAACGGGAGCTCCGATAGAACACTTAGCAAAGAATCAAACGGGACGTTTAACCAAGGGTTTAATGCAAGACTTAACGGAGGCTCTGTTGAGTATAATGGAGAATCAGATGACGACCAGAGCATGAGATTTAACGGAGAATTCAATAGCGAACTTGTTCAAAGATTCGACAAAGGATTCAATCTCGACTTTGACTTCAGCAATGCATCGGACGGAGTAGAACACGAGGACCAACTGGCCCTCCTGGCCTTGGAAACCACTCATCAGGACCAGGGCCACTATCAGAATCTTGTGAGGAGAGTGGGGACATGGAATGAAGGGCAGAGCCACTATCAGGGCCATGGTCAGGGTCCTATGAGGAGAGTAAGAACGTGGAATGAGGGCCAGGGCCACTATCAGGGCCATGGTCAGGGTCCTGTGAGGAGAGTGGGGACGTGGGATGGAGTTGACGACAAAGACAAGAGGAACCCTTGGGAGTTCGATGTGGGGTAAGTTTGTCTTCGAAGTTCATTCTGTCTGTTTATTGATATATATTTATTTCTGTGTCTGCTTGGGATGCGGAAGGGAAAGTAAGGGGAAAAGGAAGAGTAGAAGGAGGAGGAGAAAGAGAAAAATAAGGAGAGAAAGAAAAGGTGAAATAGAAATAAAGGCGATACATGAAAAAGAGTAGGAGGAGATGGAGGGAGATTAAGGTTAGAAGGTTTTTAGTTCTTCCCGCGTTTCATGACTCCTTCAGCTTTAGTTTGATAAGCTTCCCTTCGTATTGCAGTTATATTGGTAGAGAAAGACAAGGTAAAAGGAGGGCTTACAGGGTAAGAACTCTTGCATCTTCCACAGTCTTCAGCGAAGACTAACAGTGTCTTGACCACTGAAAAATGATCTGGTAATACCGACAAGATGTGGAAAAAGACTGTAATGTACAGTTCAGGACATTTATTAGAGGAAACCTATCGCCATCTGTGACTGAGGAAGCCACTCGTGGCGAAACGTTCGTCTAATAAATGTCTTGAACTGTACATAAGTGACTTTTTTCCACAATATATGTGAGTCCACTCTTCTGTTTATTTCCATACAGTCAGACTCACTCATCACCTGCAATAAAATGCTTCCCTAATCCCACATTATCACCCCCCTACAGGTACTCTGACGGAGGGACGACCAGTCTCGGCACTAACGTCTACGGTATCCTCTCTGTGTTCCTCTTCACCGCCTTCCTGGCCTACATTATCTACGTCTACATGAGTCTGGGGGCCTCTGAGCGCTCCTACAGCAACTCGCAAGTGGACGCTGTTGTTGCTATTCTTGACGAGGTCACTAACGCCTTCGAGAGGTGGGCGGCCTTTGAGTATCTCCCGCAGGAGGGGCTGAAGGAGGATGTGGAAGACTCCGAAGAGGAAGAGGAGGCTGGCAAAGAAGAAGAAAAAGATAGAGCATAAGAAACGTAGGAAAGGAATCAGGAGTTATTTAATTGTATCAGTTTGTAGAGGAATACAAATCACAACAAAATGGCTGCAACAGCAACATACATTTGAGTTTCAGAAATCGATTTTTTGCTACAAATTTCTAAGCGTCTTCAAAGTTGACAAGAAAAACACTTGACCAGCAGACACTTGAGGCTCCAGCCAGCTTCAGGGGAGAGAATAAGAGGACGCTGATCCCACATATCTTTTTACAAAGGTGCCTTAAACCACCACTGTTTTTCCCTGTTTTAACAGAACAGGTTCAATATAATCAGAACAGGTTCAAATCCCTCCCAGAGCTCAGGAGTAGTCCAGGACCGGTGAAATATATACACTTCGCTATAAAAGTTGAACTCTAACGGCAAGTATTAAGAGAATGAGGAAGGATACAAGATTAAGGTTCATTGTAATTGTTACAATACAGTTTGAAGGTAGTAACCTGTGCTACGTGTTTTGTTACCATTATAGGAAACTGGGTACATGTGCAGTGCTGCTGCAGTTACTGGTGACACTGACAACAACACCTGTGTTTCCCAACCTTCCTAAAGTAACACAACAACTGTCAGAGGGAAAACATCTGTGATATTATTAATATTATGATTTTTTTATTAATATAATTATTGTTAATTATTATTATTGATTACGTTTATTATTTTATAATAATAATAATAATATTATTATTTTTACACACAGGTGTTAATGATATATATATATTATATATATATATATATATATATATATATATATATATATATATATATATATATATATATATATATATATATATATATATATATATATATATATATATATATATATATATTTATGCTCATTTCAATAATAAACATAAATTAATAAAGAGAAATTTTTCTTAGATAAAGTTTTTCCTTGTCTTTCTGACCATTTATGGCGGCACTTTTGTCTTTTTTTCAGAATTATTTTGGGAGGGGCAGGGGGGGATAATTTGTAATAAAATGGACAAAATTCAGAAAACACTATATATAACGGGCTATTTTTTTGAATCGGTGGGGATGGGAGGGTTCACATCACAGGTCCTGGACCACATTAATTAGCAGAATTAAAAATTCACTACGTCATTCATTCAGATTTTGCAGTGTATATACCCAATTGTGTTTTATTGTACCATGTGAGTACAGTGATGTATATACGCTCATGATTCATTGGTGGTTTGAGATATTATTTAGTAACAGAATATATACACCGTTAGTGGTATATATCTTAGTGTATATACACTGAGGGCTCACTTTAAACATTAATTTAGGTATTGAAGTATTTTTGACTGGTGATGTACGGGTGATATTCAGCCTTAATGACCCTCGTGGAAGTGGGTTGACTTTAAATCTCCAATAACCAACCAGTCAGCCTTAATGTCTCTGGTGTAGTAGATCCAGTTTAAACCCCATTAACCAAGCAACAATCCTTAATGACCCCTTACGTGGTAGATAGGCCTTAAACCCCATTAACCAACCAGATGCATTATACTAAATTAATTGGTCTGTTAGCTCTATCACGCAGGCTGAGGCGCTGCTGTTTTACCTTCACATCTCTGGTCAGTACAACTTTTAAATCTTTTTCACAATTTGTAGGATCAGATTCTATATTATTTTGTTTATAAGTGCCAGGGTTACATTCATTCCCTGAGGAATACGACTCCTGCTCTGTTTTACACTCAATTTTATCTGTTTCTTTTCAGACCACAACATTAGCTTGTCTAAATCATTCTGAGGTTCACTGGTATCTTTCTCGAATTGATTTATCGGCTTATTTTTGTGTCATCTTAGAATTTAATCACGTCGCTATTTATTCTCTTAATAAATTATTAATGGAGATTATAAACAACAATGGGCCAAAAACTGATCCTTGAGAAACGCCAGTTGTAACTGGTCCCATTTCTGATGTCACCAAATTAATTCAAACTCTTTGCTTCCTATTTGTCAGCCGTGTCTCGAGACGAAAGAAATTTTCCTCCAATACTGTGTGCTGCCAGTTCGACAGGCATATGCGTGGGACTTTAGAAAACCTTACAGAATTCCAAGTAACCAACATCGTATATGATATTGAAGAATAATTAGGAATTATGGACTCAGATTCATGACAAGGTACAGCAGTAGCCATCGGGTTAGAATTTATTACATCAGGCCCGGAAGCTAGTACTCAACTCTCTCGAAGACAGTTGAGCACACACACACAATGTGCCTGGACACCGTTACAAACTAACACTAGGACTGATGACTGACACACACACAATGTGCCTGGACGCCGTTACAAACTAACACTAGGACTGATGACTGACGCCTCTGTTGACTTAACTGATTCCTGTGCAGACATTCTTGCCAGTGTATGTCTGTCTGTACCTACTGGAGCAGAGGTGTGCTGGTGGTGTCCCCTCTACGGTGTTTGTACCTACAGAAGATCATGGCAATGAACCTTTCATCCTCCCTGTTTTAACCCCGTTGTATTTTGTATATCGTAATCATATCCCCTTTCAAGTTTCACGCCTTTAACATTAGTAATAAACATCGCTTTCTTATCTCGTAGTTTATTATCTTCAGTTTAGGCACTAGCTCGGGCACTTTCCAGTTTCGACAGCTGAGAGTTCCATAGTGGCGCTGCATACTCAGGTACAGCTCGCCTATATGACGTAAAGAATGTTTTGAACGATTCATTATCTAGGTTCCTCGGTGCTACTCTTATGCTTACAAGCTCAGCATGTGCATCTTATTCTGTTGTCAAATGTTTCTTCGAAGTCTTTCGCCTTCAAGTGGTACTGTCTTTTCGTCGTCTCGCTCCGTCTCCCAGATTCATAACTCTGTTTTGATAGAGATGAATTCCAGTAGCTATCATAACAACTATTCCTGGAGTATAGCCACGTCTTCTTGCAGCCTTCCTCATCCTGTATTCTCCTCAGTATTTTAAAATGCGTTCCCCAACAATGACCTTCGGGAATTAACTCCTGTAACGAGAAGAATAAACGTCATAATGACTCCCAACAAGGCACAACTAGCCCAGAATTTAGAGAAGAGAATTTAACAGACGTTTCAGTCCGTCGTGACGTGATATTGGTCCGGGATGGACAGAAACGTCGTTTGAAGTGTCCTCTGCCGAGAGTGGGTTAACAGTGAAACCTATAGCGGGATAATTTATATAAACCAGGATGGAAAAATAGACATAAATGCAGGATAATGCGATCCTTTATTGAACCATTGTGTCAGTATTTTATACCATTTATCTCCGTATCGACCAGGAGGAAGATAGTGGCCATCACTTATACTTGTAGAACACATATACCATACTGTGTGTAAAATACTGTGTGTGTACCACACTGTACTGTACTGTGCGTACCTTCCACTAAAGTACTTTATGTACGTGCTTTAACTGCAGCTCAAACAATGAATCTTAAATCGACAGAGAGACATGTACCAGAGCAACATCTGGCGTTAATGAAGGTTTCTTCAAGTCAGACTACCAGCACGTCTGAGGAACTTAGCTCTCAGGCTGCATCTTCAAGCCTTCCACCCTCTCCAGTACTTGTACCCAAGTGTTTCACTTGTCTTAGTCATCCACTTCTATGCTTTGAGTAAGTTATCCCTAGAGACAAGCGTTCTCCCAATACAGACCAGTTCCGCTACACATGCTATTGTTTTTCACGCCTGTCTGTCGAGCACCATTCAACCAATGAACTTTTTATTTTGTAATGGATTATGCAGCTTCCAGCAGGTGGCGGCGCCTTGTGTGTTATGCGTGTTAAGTCAACACCAGCACCACCATGTGTAGTAGTAGGGAGTGAGGGGCAAGAGGGTGACTAGTCAGCTTTTACAGAGGCGATGCTTTTGTGATTTACCTTCCATATTAACGCCTTTATCATCTGCGCCGTCGGCTAGGTAACGTTCCAGCCGCGGGAAAGGAGGAAGGGAGAGTACAGGACTCCAGGTGTATCTGTCATTCAGTGTTGGGGCGAGTGTTGGTGTGCTAGCAGAGTTCCCCCCTCCAAGAAGAGTGTTGGTGTAATAGCAGAGTTTCCCCTCCAAGACGCTCTGGGTAACTAATAAAGACCCAGAAAAAGAAAGACGTCTGCTGTTTCCCGCCGTAAGATTTGCGACATAGTTCGTAAGATTTAAAAATGAATTCGGAAGATATTTAGTTACGTTTGTAAGCTGTGTGATTAAGTTCATCAGTAATGTTGCTAACTCTGAAAGTTTCCCGGAGAAATTCACAACTAATGTGACTATGTTCGTTAGATTTACAGGTGAGTTTGCCAGCCTCATGACGTCATATCCAGTCTGAGTCCAGTCCTCCTTGCTGACGACCTGATCAATGAAGATCTCAGGCCTACAGATAGGCCTGGGAGGCCAAGCAGACGACAGTGTATAAGAGGTCGCAAGAAAAAGCTAATAGGAATCTTGGCTTCATATCAAGAATCATAAATCAATCAATCAATCAATCAAGTTTATTCTCTATAAGGATTACAATGTGGGGTTTACAGATTTTGAATATTGTGTGGTTTACATATTTTAAAATACTAATTACAGAGGGGGCCACTAGGACACCTAGCATGGCTAGGCATTTCGGGCAGACTTAGATTAATTCTAAACTTTAAATTATTACAGATTATGGTATTAAGGCTAAGTGACTACATCATAGTTTGTGACTAGTTAGGATTTATTATTTTATGATTAAGATTTGTATTTCTGTGTTTATAGTCAATGGGTGGGTGAGTGTAAGTGTGAACCACCAGGTGGTTTACATGTAGTTAGTTGACGGGGTGTATCAGGGAGATAAGATGTTTTCTAACTGTAGCTTTGAAAGTGATGAATGTGTCTGCAGTTCTAGAGTTCTCAGGTAGGGTGTTCCAGATTTTAGGGCCTTTGACACACATTGAATTTTTGAAAAGGTTTAGTCGGACACGGGGAATGTCGTAGAGATGTTTGTGTCTGGTGTTATGCCTGTGAGTCCTGTCACAACTATCAAGAAAGCGCTTTAGGTCAAGGTTAATATTGGAATTTAAGGTCCTGTAGATGTAGATTGCACAGTAGTAAGTGTGGATGTATTGAACAGGGAGTAAGTTTAGATCTATGAAGAGTGGGGGGGGGGGGTGTTGCCAGGGATGGGATTTAGTGATTATTCTTACTGCGGCTTTTTGTTGGGTTATTATTGGCTTTAGATGTGTTACTGTAGTTGATCCCCAAGCACAAATAGCATAGGTGAGGTATGGATAAATGAGTGAATGGTATAGTGTGAGAAGGGCAGTTCGCGGCACGTAATATCGTATCTTGGAGAGGATCCCCACCGTTTTGGACACATTTTTTGTTATGTGTTGGATATAGGTGCTGAAATTTAGGTTGTTGTCGAGGTATAGACCTAGGAATTTGCCTTCATTATGTCTGGTAATTAGAGTGTTGTCGATCTTAATGTTAATTTGTGCATGTCCTGCTCTGCTACCAAACATAATGTAGTAGGTTTTGTCAGTGTTAAGTGTAAGTTTATTGGCTGTCATCCAAGTCAGAATTTTGAGCAGCTCCTCGTTGACAATGGTGTTGAGGGTGGCAAGATTAGGGTGAGAGATGACGTAAGTCGTGTCGTCAGCAAAGAGAATGGGTTTCAGGTGTTGGGACACGTTTGGAAGATCATTAATGTAAATGAGGAAGAGCAGGGGACCAAGGACACTTCCCTGCGGAACTCCAGTATCAAGTGGCCGTGTTGATGAGGCTGTGTCTTTAATGGTGACATACTGATATCTATTAGTAAGGTAGGATTTGAAATATGCAAGCGCATATATTTTAACTTTATACATCCTTAGTAAGGCCTCGTTTAGATTATGCTGCTTAATTCTGGTCTTCAATTTACAGAATGGATATAAACGCGCTTGAGATCATACAGAGAAGGATGACTAAGTTGATTCTCTGGATCAGAAATCTTCCTTACGATGATGGATAGGCATTTACACTCTCCGGAAAGATGAAGACTTAGAGGGGAACATGATTGATGTGTACAAACGCAAAACATCAATAAATAAGACACATATTTTAAATGACGCGCCGAAAATATAAAACCAGGACAGAATTATTATTATTATTAAAGATTAGTCGGTATTCTCCCGGCCCGGGCCTATTCCAAGTGGTGGCCCGGCCTTGGCTCGTTGTTTTGGGAGTGTCTGAGACCTAAGTCTCCCATGGGAGGAGGCACAAGTACCTCCTCATCTTTGAGACCAACTGTCCCCAGGCCTAGCCACAAGTTAGGCCTCTCTGGTCTGCCATCCCCGCCCCAAGGGGACTAATGGGAATGACAGTCTTGTGAGCTGCAAGCTCGGGCTCAGGCACCTACCCTACCCTAGAAGGGCTGGGCATGGTGTCGATGCCCAGGACAGGACTCGCAGCAATGGATTCCACCTGGAGACATTAATAATTGTGTTTATATTCTTAATGTTTATAAAAATTTGTTTTAAATTTGCCTGTTACTAATTATACTATTCTAAAGATTATTATTATTATTATTATTATTATTATTATTATTATTATTATTATTATTATTATTATTATTATTATAATTATTATTTTTATTAACGTCAATATTGATAATGACGAATATGATGTGAACATCATCTCCTACCTCATCTTCACCTTCCTCAGGTGAAAATGAGTCACTTCTCATCTTCCACACTGGACATCCATCGTGACGGAGGCTACGGATATAACGACAACGGTGGATATAGCGACCATGGTGGATATAGCGACCATGGCGGATATAACAACCATGGTGGATATAGCGACCATGGCGGATATAACAACCATGGTGGATATAGCGACCATGGCGGATATAACAACCATGGTGGATATAACAACCATGGTGGATATAACAACTATGGTGGATATGTGGGTCTCGGTGGATTTGGCGGAGGGTAAAAAACCCATTTATTTTAGTACGTAGGTAGGACTGGTTAATGAGGTTTAAAGCCTATCTACTACACAAGGGTTATTATTGTTTGTCGTCTGTTTACCACCAGACTAAGAATATTTCGAGGCAGGTATAATGTTCGTCAGGAAACACAAGTGTTTCCTGACCCACAACTGAAGGTTTTGGTCTTCTGTCCGAGGCCTTCCGCTGGCTTACCACTCCACCTCTTCAAAAATCATGGTTATGATTATAATCATTAATATATTTTTAAGAAGAATATTTCAATCTCAGTTGTAGCCT